AAAAAAAAAAACCAAAAAAAAAAAAAAAGCTCAAACATATGATTACATATTCCAAATAATAGTACTGAACTAAAGAGCAATAGAAGTGAATGCAAGATTTAATGACATGTATAAAGTAAAGGATTTTACTATACACATTGACTGTGCAAAGAATTTCTACATCATAGTGTAGTTTAACATGTTGTAATAGATAATCTGCCTTATTTTTTAAGTACCAATAACACTTTCTCTAAACCGTTACGGTCAAATTTCTCTATAATAACCTCGTTTGTTCTGATATTTTTTGGCTGCTATAGTGAAGTGCTATTACCGAGGACATATATTATAATATAATATAAAAATCGGTTCCGAAAAATACTTGACTCCCTATAACGAATAATGTTATGTAGGGGAGATGTTATAGAGAGATCCGACTGTACATATAATTATTTTTTATACGGTCAAGAGTATTACAGTTAAACTCAAAAGTAAATGTGCAACTCACCAAGATATTGTTGCCCCTTCTGAATGGATCCTTGAAAATTGCTTGAGGACTGTATCAAAATTACAATAAGTGACATTCAGATAATTGTTCCTCAAAAAGGACATAAAAACTACTTCCGTCCTTTCAATTTATGTATTTTAGTTTGACTGGACACGAAGTTTAAAAAACTAAAAATGTGTGTAATGTACCAAAATGTCCTTAAATTTTGTGATATTAAATATACCGTGTGGAAAATTGGAGTTAAAGAGTTACTAAATATAGAAAGAGACATTCTCTTTGAGACAAAAAAAAAAAAAAAAAAAAAAAAAAAAAAAAGTAAGACACATAAATTAAAACGGCGGAAGCGAAAGATTTTGTAGACTAAAGAAAACTTACTATAGGATCACTTCACTGTCTTCTCCAGGAGCTTGTCCTGTGCTAGAACCATCATAATTCCATTTGGGAAGCTTTGAAGGATCATCAACAGGTCCAGATAGAGTCTTTATATAAAAACAAATAGCACTGATTTAGCAATCTTATGTATTAAAAGAAAAAAGGATTATGTTATCTAAAATAAATAAAAACAAATTGAAGATTTAATACTCTGGCTTTGCTCCTGACGTCCATTCCTGATCCACCAATCCTGATTATAAACAAATAAGATACACTAAGAACTAGATTAACATCAAAACTTACATCATAGTAATTGAAAAACAACATACTACCATAGAACCAAAGGATTCCATTATACATATAAATTCTTGATTACATGTAGTATTAAAATACTGAAAATTGTAGGTCAGCGGGTAGGTATATTGGAAACAACCTCTCTATCCTCAAGGTAGGGGTAGGGTCTGCGTATACACTACCTTCCCCAGACCCCATTCGTGAGACTATACTGGGTTTTTTGTTGTTGTTTTGTTGTTTAGGTCTGCGGGTGCAAAATACCAATGTACATATTACTTCATTGTGACAATGAGTGTGAATTTTGTACAAATATAACAAAAACAAGAAGAAACCTAGTGCAATTCCACACGTAGGGGCTGAGGAGGGTAATGTGTACACAAACCTTACCCCTATCTTATGAAGGAAGAGATGTTGTTTCCGATAGATACTTGGTTGAAGAACAGTGAAAAGACACAATAAACAAACAATAACAATATTTATTTAAAGTGAAGCTGAAGATAAGGAGGAGCTTTGGAGCAACGATAAAGTTGTTTGCATCTGATCTATAGGTTACATGTTCGAGCTGTGGAAACAGCCGCTAATGCTTGCATCAGAGTAGGCTGTCTGCATCACACCCCTTAGGGTGCAACCCTTCCCGGACCCTGCATGAACACAAGATACCTTGTGCACCGACCTGGCCGTATTCAAAGTGAGCTGAAGAATGCACTGTGGACATTGGCCAATGCCAATGGCTACTAAGAACAAACAAAAGAAAACTATTGTACACTTCCTATCTTAGAAGAGAAAACAAAGAAGAAAATAAAAACACAACAAAATTGACAAGAAATAAGATATCTTGATTCTTAAATATGTAAAACTATAAAGAAACAGTAAAGATCAAGAACAATGGATGTAATGAATTAACATATGTATTACAGAACTAACCATATGTATTAAAATTGGTTTATGTCTACTGCAAAAAGTATTACAGGACTAACCATATGGATTAAAATTGGTTATGTCTACTGCAAAAAGTATTACAGAACTAACCATATATATTCAGCAATAATTTTCTGAGTGGAGTCAGAGAGACTGAGATTAACGAGATCGGAAAGATGAGCCATAATGGAAAATAAGAGTTGTGAAATTGGCTGAGTTTGTAAATGAGAGAATAAAAATGTGTATTAGCAGAGGTGAAGAGGCAGAGAAGCAGTTTGCTCTGTTTTTATAGGCAGCTTTGAGAGTGTTTGGTTGTATAAAACTATTCACAATTATATTACTTTATTCCTATTCAACTTCTAATTAATATGTGGAAATAAAAATTCTAATTAATAAAAAATCTAATCGTCCCAATTTTTTTTTAAAAAAATTAAGTTCAGAATATGAGAGGCTATTTTTTGGTCAACGTTTTTTCTTAATTGAAATCAGATAGCAGGCTCGTTAAATAGGGAGAGCCAAAATTTTTTACAAGAGAATTAAAAAAATGTAAGTATATTGCACATAAGATTCGAATTTACAGCCTCAAATAATTTTTGAACCGCCTTTACTACTACAATGAAAGCTTCTTAAGAGGATTTAAAAACTTATATATATATACAAAATACAAATAATATGAATAATTTATAGTAATTTCAGGATTATAATCTATGCTTAAAATCAAGATTATAACCTAATATGAATAATTTATACCGCTTTTTATATGAGATAAGTTACAATTATATTTTGGAATACAAAATTGTACTTTATTGCTTTTAGCTTTAACCTTCAAATGCAAAATAAATTTTAATCTAAAAAATTATTCCGTTATAATCTGTCTACTTCCTGTGTGACCTATATGTTACGAGTTCGAGTAGTGGAATCAGCCACCGATGCTTGCATAGGATAGACTGCTCACATCATATTTTTTAGGGTCCGACCTTTCGTTGGACTCTGCGTTAATGCGAAGTATTTTGTGCACCGAACTGTTTTTGGGAAATTGATTTTTTTTCCATGAGTAGGTAACTAACCCAAAAAAGTAAAAGAGAGTAGCCTTAGTAGGTAATAACTATTAATGCGTAAAGAGAAATTGTTTTGATAATTTTTATGTTTATAAGCGAGTAATTGAAGTGCCCCTTTCACAATCAACTTTGTCCATTTTACCAAATTTGTGTACTGATAATGCCAAAAGGTGGTAGGGTGAGAGATCTACTCTCAAAAGCTTAATAACCTTATGGTTCATTTTTGGAAACATGCCAACGTCCAACATGTGTACTGTTGTAGGCATCAAACTTTTTTTATTTTTCTTCACGCAATTCAGAGATATTTTAAGATATTTGTACAATATCAATTAGTATGAGTTTGCTCACATTGTCGGTCCCAAATTTCTTTAATATTAAAACGTAATTGTTACAGTAAAGACATTCTACCATGCCGCAATAGCTAAATCCAAACAAAATTCTAGCAAAGTAGGAATGTGTCGTAGTTCGTCTCAAAAACAAAATTATTTATTATAAATGGCTTAATTGTATACTTCCTATTAATTGTCGTGATTATTGAATATATCCCGTCCAAAATAGTGGAGTTTCATTTTAGAGAATCAAGATAAAATTAATTACTTTGTTTTATTTTGTAGTATTAAATGTTTTTGAAAGTAAAAATATTGACTATATAGTATAGAAAGCCTAAAAGTGAAGAGTACTGAATACTGAGTAAGTACTCCGATCCCTTCAGTCCATTTTTTAGTGATTTTTAGTTATTTTTTTGTGGTCCACAATATTTGATTTTTTCATATATCAACAAGGAATTAACTTCTACTTTCCAAAGTTGCCCTTGAAGTAAAAAGCCTAGAAGTAGTTTATTATATTTTCAATGAGCAAATTAAGGTTAATATGGTCAATTTCTTTGTTAATTAATGCTAAAAGTGTATTCCTTAATATGTGTGAGAAGAGCTAAAAATTCATTTAAATTGAATCGGAGGGAGTAATCGAAAACGGAGTGTTCTTATTAATAATGTCTTTTAAAACGTATAAAAGTGAAGCATGACAACTAAAATAACGGGAGGGAGAAATAGTTTATGGAACTCAAATTCTATTTTGTATTTTTCGGAGACTTTCACATTTTTATTTATATTTCACCTCGAATTTTATGAAGGATTATGAATCTTGGTTCGGCCAATTAATAACGAGCTGTGGCTTGTACTGTAGTGACAAAAGCATAGATTTTACCGTCGCATTCGAAAACTCCAATGATTCAACTCAGAATATTAGAAACAACCTAAAAAAAAACTCAGAACTCAGAACATGAGCTTTGGACTATCGAGTCTCCGAAAATGTGGGTCCCATCACCTAATAAACAAAACAGTTGTCATGTTTGGATTAATTATTTCGATCTCTGAATCTTCGGGGTTCATACTAAGAGTCCGTTTGGACATACGAAATTTTTTCTCTTTTTTAAAAATTTTTTACTTCTTTTTTTTGAAATCTGTGTTTGTTCATAAAATTTTCAATTTCACTTAAAGATACATTTTGAAAATTTTCGAAAATTTAAAAAACTCCAAAAAGTTGTTTTTCAAAATTTTCACTTAAATACCATTTTCACTTGAAATTTTTTTCTCATTTTTTTTGGAATTTTACAATTCTTATGTCCAAATGCCCACTAAATCGCAATGCTCTTATGGAGGCTCTCAATGCATGCAAGTCCATATTTTTTGCTCCCTATTTCAATTTACGTGACATAATATGACTTAATACAAAATTTATGAAAATAATGAGTAATTAATATTAATTTGGCAATATGTTGATGCACACATTAGGGCTGTTATTGGGCGAATTGGGCGGTTATTTACTCTTAACAGTTTGGCTTATCGGTTATCGACTTTTAAATGTATTAATCCGCTAGTCATCCGATAAGATATCCGACAGATTGGTATCGATTTAGCTCTTATCGGGCAGTTTATCGACCTAATTCAATCTATATTGCGTGCAGTAATTATTTGCTAACAACCTAGCATACAAATTCAGAAATCGAAATTACACATTGAGTCCAGACACACATGTTTATTAACGCCTACATAAGAATGATGTAGTGTGTCATGTGTTGGAGAGTGAAAAAAGCAGAACACATTGTACATTGTAGGTACATTAACTGAAGATAAACTGAATGAGTTGATTCATTACCTTTCCAACATTGCCATTGATAAAGATGTTACTGCAATTGAGATCTCTATGAATAACACAAGGGTCATGAGTGTGTAGATAATCCAAGCTCTGTAGTATTTGCCTAGACCACTTCTTCAACACCTTAATCAAAACATGACAATGCTTCTTCCTATAATCCCTCAAATTATCAGAGGCACATTCCTTAGTTATGAAATTGAGGATGTTATGTTCATTGTCTTTCCAGACATGATATAGTACTATGATGTTGTCATTCTTCAAGTTCTTCAACAGTGCAATCTCTCAAAGTGGAAGGGTTTTTGATATTTTGTAACATACCTAATAACAACCAACCCAACTAGCTATATTGATTCACTGAAGGGACTTACAAATACTGAAAATTACAATAAAACAGTAAGGGATAATTGAGAGATAACAGAGAGGGATGAGAGGACAGAAATACACCATAGAAGAAGGGAGATGAGAAGCTTAGACACAGAGCAAGGAGATGAGAGGAGCAGACATTTTCTTCTTCAACACCATGCCCCATATCTTTCCTAGATCCCAAATATAACGTGCTAGTATTCTGTTTGCTTGTTCAATCATTGGGCCTTTAGCTCTTGGCTTTTCTGGCCCATAATCCCTTACCAAGTAAGGTTGGTTCACAACATATTTAAAATATATATGGATAAAAATAAATTATATTATATATATTCTTAACGGGTTAACGGATTATCCGTTAAGAAAATTGAATAATCCGCCCCCAAATCGATAAGCCGTTAATAAAAAAATTTCAATCAGTTCCTTGTTCGTTAAACCGTTAACTCAATACCAATAAGTCATTAAGTTTCGATTTCGGTTCGATTTTCGGCTTCGGATCGGTTTTGAACACCCCTAGCACACATTACAAAACCAAGAGAGGTAATTGTAGTGCATGTGCCGCTAGAATAATATATGGGACTTAAAAGTCACCTGTCGCTTTTAAGCGAATCAATATTGGCTGATGGACAAGAGGGGATTGCTCAAGTGGTAAGCATCATTCACTCCCAATCCTAATTTGCGGGTTCGAGATCGGGGAGAGGTTAAAGAAAATACTCGCTGCTTACGTGGCAGCATATTAGCCGCACGAACATGTTAGAGCTTGATACGGCAAATTGAACGGTAAGGATTTCTCGTCGTGCCGGAAATCGACTTTTGTTTACCTTTATGGCTTGTCATAAACAGTAACCATTCTGAACACTTTATTTTTGTTTTAACATTTAGGATGCGAAATTTATTAGTTTGACTAAATTAAATCTATTGAATAAACTCAATGGGAAAATGCTTATTATCGAGACAATCTCTCAAGCCGCGGCGAATCTAGGATTTAAGTTTTATGGTTCAACTTATAAAAATTTTAGCATTGAATTCATTATATTTTTAAATTTATGAATTCACATTGCTAGATGTTACAATATTATTGACTTTTTACACATAAATTTATGCTTGAACCTGGTACCAATGTCTTGCATCAGCTTCTGCTCTCAAGTATCATAGCTCAAAATTAAATCAGAATATCCGCAAATTGCCAATTCTTCCTTCTTCTTTTTTTCTTTTTAGAACTTTCCTGCAATTACACCTCTGACTTCGACATTCATAATATCTATGTTTTATATGTTTAAGTTTAGTTTAATAAATACCTGTATATGTATTAATACAACTAGAAGAATCTTGAATATTTATTCTGATAATAACCGTTAATTAAGTCAACTGAGGGGAATATTAATTTTGTTTAAGTCACTTTCATGGTTACGAATTGGCTGCATCTTGTATGGTCCTACCTACCTAATACTAAATTATATACTACTACTATATATCTACCAAATATCCAAAGGCCAAAAAAGGAAGGTTTAATTTTTCTGATTATTTTATCAAATCTAACTATTCATGATCTTAAAAATATAATTCACTCATAGAAGCTAGTAATTGTTTTGTTAGGTGATTGTTGAAAATGATTTTATAAATTCCCCTTAACTAAAGATACTGTTGGTATGGGTGATTAGCGACATATAGTTAAGAGATTATCGTTCAA